TCTTTGTACAAACTCACTTGTGGACGCGATAGGCACTCCATAGTGTTACATAAAAAACCGAGCTACGAAACTGGATCAAACTGAGCCGACTACCTTTAGATAATTTTCAACTTTAACGCGCTCCTTTCTTGATCTGTTTATGTTCCATCGTCGTTATTCGAACTGCCGACCACGAATTGCATAATTTGTCGAACAGTAGAAAACATGTCATTTCTTGAGAGGCTCAGGCTGTCATGCATATTGCACGCGCTTGCGAAAGGTTACCAAGGTCACAAATCCAATTTCGTATTTCACGTTCCATTCGACTGCGAAATCCGGCATATCTCGGATCAGAAATCCGTTTTTGGATTCGCTTAAAGAAACACTGTTAACACACCCTAAGTGATCCATGTTCAACATTTTAAGACTAATTGCCCTCATAAATCGTACATGAAGGCCGGTTAGCGGTGGTCTACTCTGTGAGAGCGGTTGGAAGGTCAGTGGTTAAGTTACCTGGTACCTGGTCTCTCCACTGTCGTCACCGTCTGACAGAGGTTGACAAAGATGTGAGAAGTTCTGGAACAAGCATAGTATTCATCATTTTCAGATAGACCATAATGCACCTTGTTTACCCCCCAAAACTTTGCATAACCATTGTCTTGGATTTCTCTTGGGACGACTGTAATACCTAGGAGAAATTGGAAAAAATGGTTATGCAAAATTCTGAGGGGGAAAACAAGGTGCACTATGGTCTATATGAAAGTAGTGATTACAAGAGATGTAAAGCATGCGTAGAATTAAGCTGTTTGACGGACAACCTAGTTCCAAGGTCTCCCAGGAGTTGTGCGGGGTTGCGTAAATGAAGACTATGTGACGGGCCAATGCGACGCGCTCAGGAGGGTCCACTGAAACTCCCTGACGAGAGACAATCTCTGAAGCGCAAGGAAAATTGATGAAAATTACTTCTTCTGGGCATTCAGACTGGTGATAAATTAGCCAAACCACAGTTCTTTGTCGCATATTCTCAGCTTTGCCGTCACTGTCGCAATTTGGCCGAGGGAGGTTGTCGCTTGTCGTAATTATTTCGTTTTAGGTTCGGTCGCTACTTTTTGGGTGATGTCGCTTGTCGGAATTTACCCTGGCAGGGCCTCTTATAGTAAACGCTACCTATCAGTTTTGATATTACAGGCTAACAATAGAGAAGAAAAAGGTATTTTTACTGCTTTACATACCTGTGTTTTTATTGCGTGCCAGATAGCGTTACGATCATTTGTATATCAGTATATGGTTACTTGAATGTATATGCATTTCTCTGTACGCTATATATTTTCGGCTAACGTTTTCTAAAATTTAAGCTTAGATCAAACCTTTTATATTCTGTTTTTCAATATGACTGGCTGTCTCAAATGGGTCTATGATTCTTTCATATCGTCCGTATAGGCATGAAGGGAGAGTACCTGAGCTGACTGGCAGACAAACACTCATAAACACTTTTGTGGAATGCTCTGAAATCTTTCCCTAGACTTTTAAAGGAAAGAACATCTCGAGAAAGGGATACTTTTCAGAGAATGTTACAGCACTGTTTACCTTGATCATTGGTCTGTTACTCTGTGCAGGAGATATCAGTGGTAGATGATGATGATGATAATAATAATAATAATAATGATAATTTTGTTTATTATCTATTTAAATGTTCTCAAAACATAGCCAAGAAAAGTGTTGATGATGCTGACAGTTTTGATGACTGTCAGTCATCTTTATCAAAACTTGAAAATCGTCAAAGGTGTCAGAAGCCTGGCAGCATCATTAAGACTTTTCTTGGCCGTGTTTTGGGAACATTTAAATAGATATTAACTTTACTAGCCTGATGAATTTCTTCAAGAATAATAATTTATTATAAAAAAATATAAGGCACAAAATAGCATTTAAATATGATCTAATGCACACAAACAATTCTCCAGGATGGTGATTTTACACTACCTGATTTTTGTAGTCTTCACTTTGGCTTACAAGGATGGACTTTTAATATGATTGCCCGCCTAAAAGGGCGCACCCAGCAAGAAGAGAGCGTGCCCTGGGTGGCTTACCCTGTCTAGTGCATTCATATGTTTCTGTTTACTTCGAAAAGTTTACCCCTCCCCCAACTTCTTTGAAAAGACCCTATTGTTACACTCGTATAGAGTTATTGTTCATCTCCTTCACAGTATAAATTTGTTTGTAAAAGGTGATGAAAAATAATAATTTTGTCACACCCTTGATAAAAATAAATCAAAGTAAAACATAGTTATTCTCTCTTCTGCATTTAGAAATGCTGTTGTAGGAATATTTTTGCTTGTTGTTATTCTCACATTGGCTTTGATCTTCTGGCCAAGAAAAACTAAGGAAGAGGAATTGGCAGGATCCACAGCTAAAAAGGTGTGCATTGGAATGGTTGTGTTTTTATCAAAGGGGCAGGTTTATGGTTCAGCGCATGCTCATTAATTAAATTTTTTTTTTCCAATTTATTATTTATTCTATCGGTTTATAATCTCACTCACATGTATCTCAGCCATCTAAGAGTATATTTCAAAGTAGAAGTGTGTTTCACAGTAACCTGAAGTAGGATGGAACAGTACTAAAATCGGAGAAAAAATTAGTGGATTATGCCAATACGACCAATGTTGAATTTATTGTTGACCTGAAGGTTTTGTTCCATGGTTGATGAATTTACAGCTATTTGGACATAAGTTGTTCAAGTGACTGCCAGCGGAGTGTGCAGATTGGTTCTTTAACAACATTAAGACATGATCATATTGCTTGCATAGACGATACAGCATGTCCCCCGGCAGAAAAATAACATCTCGATTAATGAGTATGCGCTGAACCGTGAACCACTTCCTTTAAAAATGAATAGACTTGTACAGACTAACACCTTGTGTGGCATTTCTGTGGGGTTGTCCATGACCAACCTGAGAAAAGGTCAGTAGTTTAAGACCTTCAGATATTTAATTAACCCTTTAAGCCTCAATATCCACATACCAATAGATTATTAAATTCTCTAAACTAATCTCCATACATAACTGTTGAGAGAATTTCATAAGAGATCAAAGCATTTTTCTTTTACTGATGATTTAATTAATTCCCACAACCCTTTCGTCTCAATTGTTTACTGATATTGTTAAGAGAAAGTTGATTTTGGTCACCCTTGGGACTTTTAAAAAGGGTTAATGAGAGGACTAGGATCTACTGTATGAATAAATTGGATGCATTTTGCTAAAATGTTACTTCATATTTTACAGGGCCTCACTGAATATCTCTCTTTGTGAAGTGAGCTCCCTTTATAAAGATTGTTATTATTATTATTATTATTATTATTATTATTCATTTTGCCTTGAGAATGGTGTCATGATGATACTGAAACGTCGGCTTTTAACGTTAATATTCGCTTGCTTATGTTTTAAGAAATCGTTATTGATCAAGATTATTATTATTATTATTATTATTATTATTATTATTATTATATTTTGTTCAACAGATTGAAGTTGATGAACTGATTATTCCTAAGACTGTCCTGTTTGTGTTCCTCTGCATCTTTGCTGTGGTTGCCTTTGTTTTCCTGGTTCTTCACTGGATGGAGCCAGTATACTCACCAGCCATTACCTCCAGGAAAACATACACATTCTAACAGGCAGATTCTGTTAATATGAACCATTGATGCATGGATGATGACTAAATCAATGGAGAAGCTTAAATTCTTCACTGTCTTTATCTTTATCTTAAATGGCATCATATTGAGCCATGTCATGTCAGGCCAAATTCCAGTGGATTGACAGAGAAGCTTTTCCTGGCTTGCAAAAATATTTGCTTTACGGCTGTTTCGGATAACATGCGACCTGCAATGTCAAAAACGTCTTTGGACTTTGGGTTTTTCTGTGACGCCAATCAAAATCTGAAGGCTCGGCACTTTCTAGCGGACCTCTTAGGAAACAGAAGTTTACTTCAATGGATTCAAAAAGTCATGGTTTGTGATTTGTGATTGGTGGATTTTGATCTGTGTTTGGACTTTGGGTTTTTCTGTGACGTCAATCAAAATCTGAAGGCTCGGCACTTTCTAGCGGACCTCTTAGGAAACAGAAGTTTACTTCAACGGGTTCAAAAGTCACGGTTTGTTATTTGAGATTGGTGGATTTCGATCTGTTTTGTATAGTGTGTTAGGAGGATTTGTGCTATGATGTTCTTTTGTGTGATGTAAACTCTTCACGTTTTAGCTTTCACATTTTTTGCCCTCTTACTTAAACATGGCAGGTTTAGATTCCCAAGGTGAAATTGTTCCTATAGAGCTTCAAATCCAGAAGAAACACAGATATGGGAGAAAACAAATCGGTACATTCCCGCTAACAGTTAATTTTGTAGCTTCTGCTTGTTATTGCCGCACTTTATTTGACAAGTAAGGATTAGGTGTTATGGAAACGGTTTGATTGACATTGAAGAAAAACCCAAAATCCTGAAACAATTTTGACAATGCCGTCCATGTTATACAAACCAGCTGTAAATGTCGTGAAGGACAATCAATAGCACCATGAAACAATGTCATCTGAGGAATTCCAGATGATCTGCAGAGATGCTTGTAGTGGCTTGTAAAATTCATGGTTTTCAATCTCGGAAAGGAGAGTGGTTTAGTGATACTGTGCTGCTTATTTGATTGTGTAAATTTAAGTGACAACAACATTACGACTCTATTATGGATGTCAAAGTGCTAATATTATACCATATCATACTAAATTAGGTAACAAAGATGTTACTTTATTTACGATCTTCAAGTACATCCTGAAGATTTTAGTAGCTTTAATTTAATTTATTGCCGGTATTTTTTGTATATATTAAATAGGTATGTAAACAATGCATTAAAGACAAATTATGTACAGTAATTATTGAGAGAGGTTTTTGTAATAATACCATAAAATTTCAAAAATAAGGCCGGGGGCTTTTATACATTTTCAAAGGCACTTTTTGAGAGGCTTAAGGGGATTGCCCCTTTGCAGATTGGAGTCAGGAGACCTGTCTCATGCTGAAACCACGGGATCCAAAAAGTACCAAAAAGTACCCGAAATTGAAACAGCTTAAAAGAAAATGTGACAGGTCTGCCAGGTTTTAGTTTTAGACTGCCTTACGGTCTAGCATGATTTTTTCCTCACAGAACCTTATAACTTTAAATTATCATACAATCTCCTTTTAATATGTTTATCACCCTAAAACTAATTTGTTTTCTTGCTTTTTCTATCTCTGGTATAACAGAAATTGAATCACCCAATTTCTGTATTTTGCAGGTCCAAGAGAGGAAAACCCTTTTCTTAAAAAAAGGATTTATTCTCTCTTGGCAGGTAACAGGAAATTGGGTTTTAAACATCAAGGCATTGTTTAGTACTTTCAGAGAAGTAATGAGGTTGCATCTGCAATAAAAGTTAACCCTTTAAACCCTAAGATCAAAATTTGAATTCTCATTTGTTGCCCCTAGTCATTTCCTACAGAAGTAGTGGGGAGAAGTTGATAAAATGTCAAACAAAGTCATCTTGTGTGACCATGTCTGTAATTCTCATGACCACTCTGTTATACAAAGCATGGGTATCACAAGGAGAAATTTGATTGTGATCACTCTTGGGGCTTAAAGGGTTAAATTCCAATAGAGTGGAATTCATTGCCCTTTTCTAAGTTATGTTCCTCAAATGATCTCAAGTACCGGAAGATAGTACCCCCGGAGGGGGCTCCCATAAGAAGGGGCGGGGATGCTCATTGTCTCACTTAGGGGTGTACATTTTGGATTCTGGGTCTCATTTGGGGTGTTTTGGGCAAAACACCATTATATTTAGCCATAAAGGTCTTTTTTAGGGTTGCACGTGATGAAAGTTATAAAAATAACTATACATTTGTCTGTGTTTTAAAATGGTTTCTTTTAGGGGTCAAAAAAAGGCCACGCCCAGATTGGTCTCCTTAGGAATTTCCAACGAGCATCCCTGCCCCTTTCATAGGGGAGTCGTCCCCCGGGTTAGCACTCTGTCCCACAATGAAGTCCTGTTCCGTTGACCTGTGCCAGCAGTTTTAGTTCAGTCTGAGTTCTTCACTCAGGCACTTTGACTAAGCGCATATCAAGCTTGAGGTGACTGATCCTTATTAGTAGCTATTAACTGAGGAAAGCTACTCCTGGGAATTCTTGGAGGGGTGTGCCACTGGGTTCTCCAAATTCTGTGATAGATTGTGCTCGTAAAAGTTGCATCATCCAACTACCCTACTTCAGACCAAAAAATGTCCTTTTCCATGGCCACACCCATTTTAAATCTGTACCCTCTAGACCATGACTTTACATAGGCATTAAGCCTTACTTAGATTAAAACGCCAACAAAAAGGGTAACCTTTTTCAGACCAAAACGGTGTGTTGTCGTTGATTTGTTTCATCGGTACTATGAATCTATGAAGTTCTACTTTAATCTGGAAGGTGTGAGGTTCCAAATTAAACTTGCTCTGCATAGATTTTCGATTCTTTTAGTCAGCGGGGCAATTGCTGGCGATAAGTACGTCATATATGGTAATTATAATGCTTCCAAGGAGTCTCAACAATGAACTACTCGATACAAAATGCTCAATTAAAAAAAGCTTATCTGGTACAAGCTATCTGTTACGGAAATTCCGTGCATACATATTAATTAAACCTTTTAACGTATACATTAAAACACTCAATGTACCGCGTATTGCACTCTTGAGGAACGCAACATGGATAATTTGGTAACTGCCCTTGAAAATGAAATTTGGGGAAAATGTGAGGGAAGTTCACTGCCTCCTCTGTCTACTTCCACCTACACCGATGAAAAAGATGGAGCTCTCCTCCGCAAAGCTTTCCTTGGGCAAACTATCTGCTACATTGTATCCGCTGTTGTTGTACAAGAAGGTCGGGTTTTGATGATGAGAGAAGCCAAAAGGTCTTGTCGAGGAACATGGTATCTGCCAGCTGGCAGAGTTGAGAAAAATGAATCTCTTAAAGAGGGTGTCATAAGAGAAGTGCGAGAAGAAACTGGTCTCAACTTCCANCATGGCCACACCCATTTTAAATCTGTACCCTCTAGACCATGACTTTACATAGGCATTAAGCCTTACTTAGATTAAAACGCCAACAAAAAGGGTAACCTTTTTCAGACCAAAACGGTGTGTTGTCGTTGATTTGTTTCATCGGTACTATGAATCTATGAAGTTCTACTTTAATCTGGAAGGTGTGAGGTTCCAAATTAAACTTGCTCTGCATAGATTTTCGATTCTTTTAGTCAGCGGGGCAATTGCTGGCGATAAGTACGTCATATATGGTAATTATAATGCTTCCAAGGAGTCTCAACAATGAACTACTCGATACAAAATGCTCAATTAAAAAAAGCTTATCTGGTACAAGCTATCTGTTACGGAAATTCCGTGCATACATATTAATTAAACCTTTTAACGTATACATTAAAACACTCAATGTACCGCGTATTGCACTCTTGAGGAACGCAACATGGATAATTTGGTAACTGCCCTTGAAAATGAAATTTGGGGAAAATGTGAGGGAAGTTCACTGCCTCCTCTGTCTACTTCCACCTACACCGATGAAAAAGATGGAGCTCTCCTCCGCAAAGCTTTCCTTGGGCAAACTATCTGCTACATTGTATCCGCTGTTGTTGTACAAGAAGGTCGGGTTTTGATGATGAGAGAAGCCAAAAGGTCTTGTCGAGGAACATGGTATCTGCCAGCTGGCAGAGTTGAGAAAAATGAATCTCTTAAAGAGGGTGTCATAAGAGAAGTGCGAGAAGAAACTGGTCTCAACTTCCAGCCAATTTCGATCATTTGCATCGACTCTCAGGAGACATATTGGTTTCGCTTCACTTTTGTCGGAAATATCACAGGAGGAAAGCTTAAAAGCTTAGAGGAGCAGGACTCGGAGTCCATGGAAGCTGGCTGGTTTACACCAAATGACATTTTTTCCTCCCTTGTTCTCAGAGCGGGGGACGTTCGTCCTTTGATAGATGCCGGGATGAAATGGTACGAAACCAAGCAAGGAAACCCCATTTGTAGATCTCTGCCAGTTAAAAAACCCCACAAAAATATAATTTTCAGATTGGTGGTAGTTAAAACGCAGCCAAAAGATTGCAAGAAATCCTTGTTTTGTGTTCTGATGAATAACAAATTTGGGGATAAATCTAATTCCCATTTTCCGTACAGGATTGTCAATAAATTTGATAGCATGAATGTCACTTCTGCGGTTGAAGAGTTAATGAGAGACATTAACAGTGGAATTACATACAAAACACATGGCTACCTCAGTGTGGAACACACTGGAAAGCCTTCAGGAGATGTGGATGGGCTTTGTCTTACACTCCTTGTAGAAATATTCATACCATTGGAGGATGGCATTTTAAATGACAGTTATAGCTGGTTTGAGGTTAAAGGACAGGATCTCATAAATAACATTTGGGAGCTCATTGATAAAGGCTGTGTAGAGCTTGTACAATGCTAAAAGAAATGCACAAGGCAGTGACGATGGACCTAACATTCTTCCTTGCAATACAGCTGGCTGTCCTCGGATTGTGATGGGTGCCTCAACCCTGATATGACTTTTTGCAAATGATTGAAAGCATGTTTGCGATCAATGTTGAGAGACAAGTTTATTGGATGAAGAGAAAGAATGAAAGTGACTTCCCACTGGTTATTTTTTCTTTTTTCCCAGATATTCACATGCCATAATCCTTCCTTGCCTTACAATGACGTAATTAATTCTGTTTTGCCCTAGTCCAAGAGTCATGAATTGGTTAGGCACTAAAATGTTTACACCCAATTATTGATGGATTATGGATATATATCTCTGTCCCCTCCCCTCTGGTGCCTTTCTTCCTCCGCAAAATGATAATAACAATATTAAACAGACTGAGAGGCTTCCTTGAAAGTAGTGTCACTGAACAATTACTTATTCTTACAAATTCGTTGAGCAGCAGAAAAATAATAAACAATGATTATTGCGATGAGGTTAAGTATGGTTGAAGAATTAGGCAGTGAGTGAAAAAAGTTTTCTAACAAATAAAAAAATGGTGCTAATTTTCTTCCCTCACCTGGCCAATGGCTGAGTTATGGAGGAACAACATGAGGGAGGTGAGATTGAATGCCATCATATGAAGGAGCACTTTGCTGCCACTTCAGTTCATGTATCATCATACCTTACCCTCCCAGATAAAAAGTGGCGGAATTCAGATACATCATGACAGCAGGGTCTAAACACGTTATTAGCAATTAATGGATGGGTGTCCAACTACTGTATGTATTAATGATTGGGTGTCCAACTACTGTATGTATTAATGATTGGGTGTCCAACTACTGTATGTATTAATGATTAGGTGTCCAACTACTGTATGTATTAATGATTGGGTGTCCAACTACTGTATGTATTAATGATTAGGTGTCCAACTACTGTATGTATTAATGATTGGGTGTCCAACCACTGTATGTATTAATGATTGGGTGTCCAACTACTGTATGTATTAATGATTGGGTGTCCAACTACTGTATGTATTAATGATTGGGTGTCCAACTACTGTATGTATTAATGATTGGGTGTCCAACAACTTTCAGTCTACAGTAGAAATAAAGTTGTTGTTGTTGTTGTTAATGAGTCCTGAGAACAATCTGAAGGAGTAGTGTAGGAGCTGCTCATAAGGTCTCTCCTGATTGGTTGCAGGAAACAATAACATGTCATTCTTCCAATTGACTCAGTATTTCAGGGGCGTAGCCAGGATTTTTCAAAGGGGGGATCACAGCAGGGACACCATCCGGGGATCGCCGACTATAGATGGTTTATACCGCTGCTCTCCCTCGTGTATCAGCGGGCTCAGTCGTATTATCGCGGCATGAAGGCCCATATTAACTAAAGACAAGAGCCGTTGACGAAAATACTTTTCAAAAAAACAAATTTTTAAAAAGTGGGCTTTTCAACAATGGCATCTTTTACGGCCAAGATATTATAATGGCGTTTTCGCCAGCTGAATATTGTAGGTTGTTTGCTGAAAAGAAGGCCTACCAAGGGGGGTCACGGTCACCCCAAGACCCCCCTAGCTACGCCCCAGTATATTTTGGGGTCGGGGAAACGCACCATTGGTGACTTCTCTTCCAAGTAGCTGCTACATGACCCATCTGAAGAATTATGCAGATTGAGCAGGGTATTATCCACTGAGGCTTCCGATAACTGCATGGCTCAGATCGTACGTACAAAGGCCAAATATAATTCATACTTTAAAACATGCTTACCTTGAGTGGTGTTTGATCTGGCAGGTGTGTCATCCATTGAGTTTTAATTTCTGTCATTGCTATGTTTTTAGGCAGAAGGTTGGCTATTTCTTCTTGGCAAAATGTCTGAAACTTTCTGCCAATAATTTTCTCCAGCTCTGCTAAAACAACTGAGTCAACCCAACCTCATCCCCAGGACTTCTCAGTGGTCATCCCTTTTTCAGGTGATAGCTTGTATTATCGATGTCATTTTACAGGATATCACAAGCATCTTCCAAATTTGGTGAATGCTAGTTGGCTTTGTAGAATAAGACGGGCGATTTGAACCAAAGCTCATGGATGTTGGTACAGAATCTAAATAACCTAAAATAATAAAAGAAGGAAATATTACTTTATTTTAACCACCTTGGTCTGAAAAAAATTATGGAAAAAAAATTATGTGCCGAGCAGTCTTTTTTCCAACTTATCAGAAGGAAGTGGCTGTTTTTATATAAAGGCTTTTAGTAAAATTTCTTTTATCAAAGTTTGATCTATTTATATCAGCATTTTAATGCAGCAGAGAGATTATTTTTCGCGGTCCAATTTCATACCGGAAATGATTTAGACCGGAAGTATTGGACTCAGACGAGTCACGTGACCATCAGCTGTCCAGTATACAACTCATTTATTTCGAGAAAAACACACTTAGGTTAGATAAGCTACGGTGTTGAATTTTCTAGATTATTTTGAATATCCCTGCGGCTTAAATTACCTTAATGATTAGAATCTTCAACATATTTAAGTTACCGCAAGTTTAATTTTGGAGCAGTCTATTTCTACGGAGGGACCATCTACAGATCGCACAGTATGGAAAACCTCGCGTGAGTTTTTGGTAAGACACGTATCCAGTTAGATGAACTGTTTTCTTTTTTAAATTCTTTTTGCGACGCAAACAACTTAGAGTCTTCCAAGTGGCGTACCCGTTTTTAAATGATTGATTTTTTTGTAGAGGAACATGAACATCTGACAAGCATCTGCAAACCTCGGCTGAAAACACATCCATGGCGCCTTCAATAGATATTTTTCGCTCCTAAATTTTACAGAGGGCTGAATATTTAATACGCCTTTTTGTTTATGTTATTTCAGCTAATTGTTTAACTTCAAAATAGTCTGTTTTGCATACTAACAGATCTTCATAAATTACCCTTAAAAGTGTTTCTCGCTGGCTTCGAAGTTTTCATCAATATGAAAAGCTGCAAAATTTTTAAAGCCAATCTCACGACGTGGGTCAAGTTTTCAGTCTGTTACGTCTAAGTAAGTAGAAAAATGAAAAACTAGGATTTTTTCATTTTTGAAACTGTGATATGGTGATTTGTTTTTGAAGTCAAAACAATGCATTTTAAAGATGATATTGCAGTAATGAACATTTCCAGGTGTATACCTGTTGTCGGTAAAATCCGTTATTCTCATCAGGTATATATTATTTTACACTTTATAGCTTTTTGCTAGAGTCCATTTCTTACCGTGGTAACCAGCAGGTGGAATTACTGCTTTTACTTGAGAACAGCTTTTAGCCTACAACATAATTCATTAAATACCTATCTGCTTTTAAATAAACTGGCCAAAATTAAAGGCCTTAACTGCCTTTCCCCCTCAATTTTAAGCTTTCTTTTATTTTCAGCTGTGAAAAATATTGGGTTTATTTATTTTAAAAACTACATCTCTCAATATGCAAATTTTGGTGAGATTTCCCTGAGATGGCTTCCCTTGACTTGATAATTACACATGAATTTTGGATAAGTCATTCCTGAAAGACATTGCAATCAGGACAGATCTTAATTTTGACATTTTTTGTTGTCAGATTGCTAAGCCAATAAACTGCAAAGCGACAAATTTTGTGCCATAAACCTATGAACACTTTCAGAGTGATGGATAATGTTATACCATTATTCATAACAGTCTGTCAAATTTATAGGCCACCTGCTCTGACCTGTTATCTTAAGAGGAAGATGTTCATTAGATACCCTGCATTAGTTATTGTATTTATTTGAAGAAGGGAAACAGTAATCATTATTTGCCTTTTTCTGTAATGAAACTATCACTGTAATGCCTGCAATAATTTTTTTTTAAGAGCATCAGTTAATAGTCTTTCCTGTGAAGAGGGGGGGGGGGGGGGGGGTTGGTAGGTTGCACTGGTTAGTAAATTAATGCCTAGAAGGGGATTACAGGAACCTCTGTTCAGGGGACACCCTCAGGACCATGAGAAGTGTCCCCTGAATAGGCTGGGGTTTGTTAATTATTTACCAACAAAATAAAATATTTTTCTTTTATTCTGCCTCGGAATCTGCTGGGGTCATTATTTCATGCAGCTGGATATGTATAAAAAATTATGATTAACTTATCTCTGCAATATTGTGTGTTGAATTCCCACAAGTGCGGTACACCAATTTTAAGTGAGACAGACAGTTCATGTTTTGGAAGCTGTTGCCATTGTGACTTGTGACAGTTAAACTTATCAACAGTGATTTTTGTCGTCAGTCACTTTTTGAGTGCTAAGGTGTCCCCTGAATAGGGGTTGAACCCACAATGAGGGACAAAAGTGTTGAGACTCTTCTTTAAAATGCACCCTTTTTGAACTGTGGACATACCTGTCCCCTCCCCCTGTGTACCCTTACCCCCTCCCTCCAAAATCAATGTTGTATTAAGACCCTCAAGTCTTTCTTGAGGGTGATTGGGGGGGGGTGGATTTACGGTATTTAAAGAGAATGAAATAATAAATAGATGAAATTGTTGATAAAAGTAGCACCAATTTTAGACAAGTGTGTCAACTACTTTTGTCCCTTATTGAAGGTTTCACAACCCAGAAAAAGTGTCCCTTTTCCCTGAATAGCCTTGTCCCTTCAATAGAGGTAACAAGTACCGAATTTAGTGTCCCGTGAATGGAGGCTTCCCTTCAATAGAGTAAGTGGTCTCTCAAAGGAGAGGTTTCACTGTACCTATACCTTTTTCAGGCAAGAGCTGGATAAATAGATTTCACAAGTGAAGACATAACAAAGGAAAGGGAAATTATGCTATTTTGGATTTTTAAAGAGTCTTTAACTGTATCTCAAAGAGATACCCAACAGTTGAATGTAAGAAAGGTTTGTAGTCAAGAAAAGACTGACGAGGCTGCTTAGCCATTAACCAGAATCCTCGTTGTGGGAATTGATGAAGGAGATATATTTTGTTGTTTTTTTTTGTGTCGATGTAAACCTGACTGTTAAT